CGTGTTTTCGATCGTTGCTGCGGTACAACTGTAGCTCGGACTGAGATGATGACATTGGTATTTCAAATGTTCTATTACTGGTTGTACCTTGATAAATGGGATGATATTTCTTATGGTTGTTCCCACCTTAGAAAGGAGTGTGAGAGATTCTCTCTCTCACTGCAGGAGCAGTTTAGTCATTTCGGTTATTCATATATAGGAACACAAAAATAATGTTTTCACTTGTTAAAATATTTTCAGATATTTGAAATTTTAGTTAGGTTAGTTTTAGTTTTGGGGAGTGGGTTGCATCTAGATAACTAAGGAGGCCTTCCCCCCAACTGAAAATACCATCCCCATGTTTTAACAAGCCTTTTTTAAAGTCTTCCATGATCAGAGTAGAGTTGAGTATATTTACATAATCAGGCTTAACATGCAGACGTTTCTCTTTCACATGTTGAGTGCTGGCATGGGGAAGTAGTGTAGGATCAGTAAGTAGCACTGAGTAGTAAATCAATATCTCAGTATGACAATGAAGGGCTGCCCTTTGGATGAAACAAAGCAGCAAGCACTTGTGGTCATTAAAGATCCCATATCAACTTTTGCAGGAATGGAGGTGTTAACTCAGGAATCCTGGCCAAAATCCAGCTGTGTTCACTGTATTTCACAAGTTTAAATTCCATGTGTTGTTTTATTTGGATATTTTGTTCTTTATAGAATGTGGCTGTGGGCTGCATTTTCCTAATATTTCTGAAGAGCTTTGGAGTTCCTTTAGGATAAATTACATTACATGATACCTAGATATTCATAACTACCTCAATTTTAGATGCCTAGCTCATGATATCATTAAGGGACCCAATTTTCAGAAAGCGGGGACTGAAAATCAGGCCCCTTTAATGGTATATCTATACTTCATGTTTATTTTGAAATAGCACATCTACACTGCAGGGAAGATGCAAAATTAGTCCGAGGCAGGCTTCCCTAATGTAGACGTGTTATCTTGAGTTACTGCCCCAGGAGGCACGGGGGAGGAATAATTTAGAATGGCCCTGGTGACGGGCTATTTTGAAATAGCAGCAGTGGAGCATCTACAAATGCCTTATTTCAAAATAGCTATTTCAGAATAGGCGTTATTCCTCGTAGAATGATGTTTACAGATTTCGGAATAAGCTGTCCTTTATTTCAAAATTATTTCAAAATAATGGAATGGCTGTGTAGACGCTCACATTGTTATTTCAAAATATCGCTAGTTATCTCAAAATAACGGTGCAGAGCAGATGCACCCTAAGTTAATTCACACTGGGCAGCCAAAAATCACTTCCCTTTTGACTAGCAAGAGGGAGGGGGAAGGTGTTTCGTCCCCTTTTGTGTGACTTAGGTGGTGAAACTGATGACATTTTGCTCTGTGATTCCATATTTATCAGCACTTTATTTGCTTTTAAGATAATGAGAAACCCATGAAGGTAGTAGAGGATGAGGACCTTGTGGACCAGCAACTCATCAACGAGCTGAGGAAAGAATATGGGATGACCTACAATGACTTCTTCATGGTGCTGACGGATATCGACATGAGGGTCAAGGTGGGGAATTGAGCTCTTTTAACATAAAGACATTGGAAAGCAGAAATATGCTGTGTAGTGATGAGACATACACTGGAGAGGCTGGTTTAGGGCTTTGCCTTTACCTGAACTATCAGAAGAGTTTCATTAGCTGGGAGGTGGATAGCAAGGGTGATTGATGGCAGATAGAAAAGGGGGAGAGCACAGTCCATCTTTTTAAAATGGAGGATCTCCAATGGGCAGTCTGGATGTGTGCTGGGGGGAGAGAAGATGGTGGTCTGACAACTCATGACAAGCATAGAACTACCTCCATCAGAGGAGATGAATGCAGCATGGGATATCCTGAAATGCATCCTGGTGTGCCATGTGAAGTAGCGGTATAATATGATGCTGCTGCATCATAATGACATTCTAGGACATAGCATTATACTGCAAGATACAACCCAATTCTAGTGAGTTGTGTGCAATATCTCAATACATAAGTTTGTCCTACATAGCAGACATTTAAAGCAGGCCTCCTGGGAATAATCCAGTTCTTTACAGACTGCAAAATCAGAGATGTTTCTACCCACTGTCTCTTCTGGCAGTCTAGGTCTACACTGCAGAGGTAAGTCGGAAAAAGAAACGCAATTTGAGGTACACAAATTGCATATCTTTTTCCGCTTTACTGTCAAAAGAGGCTTTTCTGAAATTTGACACGTCTACATGGCACCAAATTTTGGATAAAAGAGCTCTTTCGACACATCCCTTCTTCCTCGTAAAACAAGGTTTACAGGGACGGCAAAAGAACGTGTCCACTTTTTAGATTTTTTTTCTGAAAAAGTGGATGCGTTCCTTGGATGCAACATTGCTTTTCCGGGACACTTCCGGTATCCCAGAAAAGCACTGCAATCTAGACGTAGATGCAGTGACATGTTGTTTTGTGCATAAGGCCTTTACTTATCATTTGACCCATTCTTTACCTTTTATTTTATAGCAATATTATGAAGTGCCCATTGCAATGAAGTCTATATTTGATTTGATTGACACCTTCCAGTCACGAATCAAAGATATGGAAAAACAGAAGAGGGACGGTATTGTCTGCAAAGATGACAAGAAACAGTCCCTGGAAAACTTCTTATCCAGGTATTATTTTCAGCACTGGCTTCTGATAATGTAATCATATTTAAAATATCTGGAATACTTTATTTTTAAGGATGAGTTTTTTTAAAAAACTAGATTTGGCAGTATCTGTCATTTCCAGCAAAGTAAAGAGATTTAACCACAGTTGACCCTGCTGCAGCATGCTCTTGGGGAGAGTAGAGCCCTGGAAATCAGATCTCCTGGGTTCTGTTTCCACAGGCTCATTGCACAATCTTGGCCAAGACACTACTTTTCTGTGTGTCGGTTTCCACAGATAAGGTTAATCTGCCTTACAGGGATGAAAGGATTAATTAGCTAATAGTTTGTGCGCTGCTTTGAACCTGTTAAGCTTTAAAAGAGCGTTGCAAAGTTTCTGTATGCCAGTCCTTGGATGCCCCATGCCATAATCCTGTTATTTCAGCTGCAGCTCCTTCCGTGCAGTTCAAATCACTCACTCCATTTTCCCTAACTTCCTTCTTATCGTGTTTGAGATAATGCTGTTTGCCTTTTCCCAATGTTGGTCACCAGCCAGGATTTAAGAGTTGCTAATGCCTCTTGGAAAACATCTGAGAAAACCTGCTAAGAGACAGCTTTGTTCAGGTGGTCTGCAATATTCTGTATTACTCTTCCCCCCATAAAGCAAAATCCCTAGATGCAAAACCAGCCTGGACTTGAGAGAAATTCAGATCTGAAGTAAAACATTGCCGTTCTGGACCATCTCTGTTACTGGGTGATCTGCACAAAAATAAGATCTCTTGTGGTTCAGGATTTCACCTTCTGCTGTTGCATATTCCTCACCTGCCATCAAAATACTCAGTTTGTGCTATTATGCCTGATTGCTATGGAAATAACTGAGATGACAGCGAGTATTATGACTCCAAGGGGGCATAGATAGCAGGGAGAGATGAATGCATAAGCCATTGGTTCTTCAGCATGATAATTTCCAACAGTCACTTGCTCAGAGAAAGCATCTTTACCAGATCCACCACATCTTCTAACTCCCCCACTTCCCTCCTGCTTGGCTCTCATAGGGCATGGCTACATTGCAACTATTTCAGAATACTTCCAGTATCCCAAAATAGCTATTCCACATCTTTGAAACAAGCCTGTTACTTTGGTTCAAATTAACACGTCCCAGCGTGCACTTCCTGGTTCGAATCAGTTGTGAGTCAAACTAGCGCGCCGGTGAGATCATGCTAATGAAGCGCAGGATATTTAAATCCCCGCTTCATTAGCAATTTCGAATGCCTGCATTTAAATCCCTAATTTGAACGAGGGTGCAAGTGTAGACATACCCTTCCAAACCTGGATAGAACTGGGAATGCTTTTCTCTCTTGGGTACTTATATGGCTTCCATTACCCTACTATCGGAGCATCACAGTCTTTATCACATTTACTGTCACAACACTCCTTTGAGATAGACCAGTGCTATTATCCCCAAGGTATATATAAAAAAACGGAAGCCAAATGACTTACCCCTCTGTTAGGATGTGGGCTGCACTATGAAATTTATGGGGAACCCCAGCTGTAAATAAGATAGACCAAAGCCCTAGATCTGAACTCTCTCTGAACTCTGAGGCAACTCAGGTCTGGATACAAACTTTGCAGCTCAGGTTCCATTTCTAATTCGAATACAAAAAATGAAGGAAAACATGGACCAAACATGTGGGAATCTTCACAAACATATGGCTTGAATTTGGTTCTAGAGTCAAATCTAAATTGGAAGAGGGAGGAAGGGAGAGCTTGGCTTTATTTTAAGCTGCTTTGCCTGTCCCCTGTTTCTCAATCCTTGTCCCTTCCCTTCTCACCCTGCTTGCTATAGCACAGCAATACGCAGACCTCAGTGATTCAGGAGTGAAATTAGTAATCACCATTACCCAAAAGAGCCACAGTCCTGCCAATGACAGGGAAATATTTAGCTTTTTCTAGATTATTCTCACAACAAATAAGTGTATCAGCTTGCACTAATTTATTAAGTGAACTGTTAAGCATAGTAAAAGCATTCTGACTGGTTAATAGCATAGACTATTTAATAATTAAATCACAGTGTTTTATATCATGTGCAGGAGACAAATTCAGGGGCTCTGACAGCCAGGTGGGGAATGTGCAGGGACCCCCTGGAAGGAGTGAGGACAGAAGGAGCATGGCTGGGGCAGCCAGTCCATAACGCTGCCCTGAGTGCACCATGCCGACCCTAGCCCTCAGACCCACATGGAGTATGCTGTGTGGTGCTCTGGCAGTGATTTAAAGGTCCCGAGATGCCGGCCGCCACTGTCGCTGCAGTAGCAGCAGCCAGGAGCCCCGGACCCTTTGAATCCCCGGGCCCTGAGGCAATTGTCCCCCCCTCCTCCACACTGGTGTGCCTGTACATATTAAAGAGCCACTTGCAGCTGAAAGCCACAGATGGAGTATCACTATTGAAGCACATTTCTGGCTCTCTAAGCTCTCAAAGGCTACATCTGTTTTGCAGCTGACGGTGGAATTTCCAACTTGGGTAGACGTACACACACTAGTTTTGCCCAAGCTAGTGCATTAAAAACAGCCACATAGCTAGCTACCTGAGTATGTACCCAGAGTTTCATACAGGGATTAATTAGTCAGGGTGACTAGCCCATGCTGCTGCCAGTGGCACTACTTTTAGTATCCTCGTTCAGTGTTTCTCAACCAGTGGTACAAGTACCCTTAGGGGTACTCAAGAGAAGTCTTGGGGGTACGTCAACACAACTGAAATTTGGAGAAAAATGAATTTTATTTTAAGTTTTACAGCGCTTTATTATTTTTGTACTTTTTACATCCAAAAATTTCATTGCCCGCCCAGCTACGATTAAGTTGTTCAAACAAATGTATTGCAATGGGAGAAAAAATGGCGTGTCTGAAAACTGTAGGCACTGGGGGTACTTCCTCTTTACAAAAAAAAAAAAGTGGTTCTTTATGGGGAAAAAAAAAAAAAAGGTTGAGAAACACTGCCCTAGCTACCAAACCTATCTCCAGCTGCAATGTAGACATTCCCTCAAAGAACTGTGGAACAATAATGAAAGCTGAGTGAAGCCTGTTTTCTATAGTTCTATCACCCTTCTAGACACAGTGATGGGGTCATATTCAGAACTTAACACTCATATGCTTTTTAAAAATGCTTCCCCATTAGATATGGATGAATTTTCCTTCAAATTGATGTTTAAACAAAAAAAATGCAATTTCTGCAAAAAAAACCAAAATTTTCCTGAAGAAAGTTTTGAATTTGCTGAATTTGTTCAATTTTCCCATCAGGAAAAAAAAGAAGTTAATATTCCGTGTCATGTGAGGCCAGTTGATTTTGTGGAACTGAATAGGAACACTTAATATCCAACTGACATGAAACTAAAACTACTTACAGTGCTGTCATGCCTCAGAGTTGCCATTAGGAAGCTTCAAAGCTCCATTCTCTCCTGTGGACCAGGCACCCAGGCCAGACTTCATCTCCCATGATGCACTGTGGTTTCCCTTAGGAGCAAGCTGCATTGTGCATCATGTAAGTCACAGTAGTGTCCAGTGCGCTGCTGTGTAAAGCATTTTGAAGTCTGTGAAATTCCATATCTACATTCACCCCTCAGTTAAAAACAAAGCAGAGGGTGTTTGAGCCAGCAGAGAACACTACTCCTCTGTTCTCATCTCTTTCCAGGTTCCGATGGAGGAGGCGGCTGCTGGTGATCTCTGCTCCCAACGATGAGGACTGGGCCTATTCCCAGCAGCTTTCTGCTCTCAGTGGACAGGCCTGTAATTTTGGTGAGTCAGATGGCATTGCGCTCTTGCTCCCCAGACCACATCCTTCCTGAGCGCTATTTGTGGATGGATTCCTTCATGCTGATCTAAACCCAGACAACGTGAGGAGGTCTGTCCAACTGAAAGCTTAACCGAATCCACCCAGCTAGGGATGGAAGAAGGCAAATCCCTGACATGCACTGTAGTAACTGCTGCTACCCGAGCATATCTGGGGGCTGGCAACACCTCCTCTGAAGTCCCTCACTTCAGTTAGGGAAGGATTAGACCCCTCCACACACACACACAGAAACACACACATTCTCTGATGGGCATTTTAGGAGCTTAGCAAGGTAACAGCCCTGGGCTTGTCTCTCTTGTCACAGCTCAGCAAATTAGTGGTATAAGCACAATAGGTACCAATCATCAACCCAGCCTGGATGGAGATGCCTGGAAGGATGAAAAGATCTATGTTCATCTTTTCTTCTTCATCCCAACTCTGGAAAGCATGTTCATGGAGGCACTTCAGCCTCTTAGCTGGGGCTCATCCAACTCTGCCTGTTCCCAATCCTGACCCTAACAGCCATGTAAATGGAGCAAGTACACCCTTGCCCAGCCTTCTAGCATGTATCCTTTTCTATGCAACACTCTGGAGTCTTCTGTGTAGCCGTAGTAGCAGTGGTGCCTGAATAAAACAGGGACCTACACAATGTCATTTTTACAGTGTCACTCTCTTAATCACAGTCTCACAGCAATTAACATCCTCAGCTGCTTTCTCTTCCCTTGATACCAAATTAATGTGCGAGATGAAATTTTTGTCACATAGTTTCTGAAGATCTGTATACAGCCAGCAGCCACTATTTATTTAACTCTTTCTCCTTTCTTGGGGATATCCATAAGGAATTGCAGCAAGATAGTAAGGCATGAGCCTTCTTTTTTCCTTATGCCAGAGTTGAATATCCGTAATCAAGCTGGGCATTTCCAAGGGTCTCATCTGTGGATCACTAAAATAGTAGCTTCCAGGACTCGGCCTAGCATACAAACAGGTGCTTCGCTGACTGGGTCTCCGGTGTGTGTCTGATCTTTTCTCAAAGACAACATTCCAATCCTCTGTCTAAAAAGAAAAAAAAAATGAATGCCTGCTTTAATCTGATCCCTGCAGTGATTTCCCACTTGAGAGTTACAGGTTAGGTTACCTACAAATAGTTTGCCACTGTACATATCATGAATAAGCACATTATTCTCAGCATTCTGACTTTTTCATATGTTTGGTGGGCTTCTCTCCATTTCTTTCATCTAAAAGCTTTCACTATTCTTTGGATCTCCTGAGATTTTTTGGAAAGTAAAGTAACAAAAATCTCATGTATCAAGGCATGAAAGGTGGGATTCAGAAATATATTTAGGTACCTAAATCTTCATGATTTCAGTGGACATTAGGGACCTAAAATACCATTGTGAATCCCTCCACAACTCTCCCTTGGTCAGGAAGGAATTATCATCCCAACAGGCAGGACTGCACAATTGGTCAGGAATAATTAGAAGGTGCGGTTCTTTCTTCTCTGAAGCTTCCATTGGCAAAGGCAGGATACTAGTCTAAGATGGAGTAATGGTTACTGCATAGCAGGTTACTCCGATAGAGGGTTATAAGATGGGATCCATTTTCACAAGAGAGACATAAAAAGGGATCAGATGGACAAATGGGCTGATCTAGCATGGTAAGGGGTGAAATACTGGACTTGTGACCTGATGCACTTAATATAATTTTGCTTTGCATCCAGTGGTCGTCTCTGGCCATCCTTCCAATATTAGGAGACCATCATGCTACTCTTAACAGTGCTAGATCGTTTATCAGACCCCACAGCTTCTCCATTTGAGATTCCACAACTGCCCTTCACAACGTATGCATTATAACCCGAGGGGCAGAGCATATGTTCCCTAATTTGGGGAAAAGATGAGGAATTGATAAATGTCAGCAATAAATACCATCTGCCCAACTTACCTGCCTTACCATGAAAGCCCTGACTTGTGAGGCTTTGTGCTAGGGTTCTAATATTTGTTTTATTTATACTGTCTTTGTATAAATGGGGGGGTTAAATGCCTTAGAGCAAAATCCTGCAGATCTTAGTTGAAGGCAGCTTTGACTGAGTAAGGACTACAGGATTTTCTGAGGGAGCCAGAGTGCAAGCCAAAACCACACCAGATGTACTCTCCTCATGGTATTTCAATTCCTGGAAAGTGGAACTGTGTATAGGACTTGACACTGATCACCAACTCACATGTCATTTGGATCCCATAAAAGACTCCCTAAGTCAAACCCCACACACAAGTTCTGAGGCATTGTTATGTTTACCTCACCAGAGATGTGCAGGAGGGGCTCTGCACCCTAGTTTATGCAACTGTAAGAACACAGGAGTCTAGGCTTGGCATAAGGGCTCCTTCGTCGAGCCTCTGAAGAGCCCACCCATGCACACACCGAGACACTTCATGACTGATAATGCAGTAGCATCCACCTGTTGTGTGCCCCTCTTAGTGCACCTCACTCACCCCACTTCTCTCCCACAAGCCCCACTGTGCAGAAGAAGGAAGTTATGCCTATGGAGTGGGCCTCTGCAATTCCCCCATGTGTGTGGTTGCCCTCCCACACAGCAGAACCACATTAGATGCTGCAGTCTCTCTGCTTGCACACTGCCCGTATAGATTAATTTATTCCCAAATTCTAACCCCTGATTAAGCCCACCATGCCACAGAATTATTTCAGGGAAATTCTATTGCCTGCGTTACACAGGAGGTCTGACTAGACAATCACAATGGTTGCTTGAGTCCTCAGCTCATGTGCAAGACTCCTATTGAAATCGATGTCAGACCCATGCACAGAAGGCTTGTGAGACTAGACCAACCAAGAAACAAGCATGGATCTGGACAGCTAAAGTAATGTGTGCCTGTCTGTGACTGAGTGGAAAGACTTGGTGTCTCCCAACACCTCTCTTGTTCCTTCACAGGTTTGCGCCACATAACCATCCTCAAGCTGCTAGGACTTGGAGAAGAGATCGGTGGGGTCTTAGAATTATATCCCATCAATGGTGAGAAATGATTTTCCATTACTTAGTTACTGATAATAAAGGACAGTTACACAGAACTGTGTGTTTCTAAGGTGTGGCTGGCACCTTCACTTGAAAGTGTGTTAAGAGGGAGAGATATAATTACAATTAAAGCACATTTTCTGACTTGCATAACATTCTTGTTTAAAAGACACTGCCAGGATAAAAAAAAAAAAAAAAAGATGGGCCTGAGTCTGAAAGATGCAGTATGTCTTTAGCTCCCACTGAAGTCAAAATAGAACGAGTCAAATGTACTTTTCTCCCCACACCTCCTGCCAAAAAGGCATGTCCTTTCCATTATTATCTCCCTCCCCTAAACTCTATACAAGATAAAGCACAATCACAGATGCTTCTCATGTGCAGGCCTTCATTTGGCTTCATTCAAGCTCCTTTCATCATCTACTCTTTGCTTACTTCAATGCCTTAATGCCCACTCAGATTAGTCTTGTATTAAGCAAGGTGTACACTAGGGGAGAAGTCTCAGAGGGGTAGCCGCGTTAGTCTGTAACTTTAAAAACAACGAGTAGTCCTGTAGCACCTTAGAGACTAACAAAACATGTAGATGGTATCATGAGCTTTCGTGGGCACAGCCCATTTCCTCAGATAAGTTCGAATTAAGATACGCAACTCCAGCTACGTTAATTGCATAGCAGGAGTCAACATATCTTGATTTGAACTTTGGCCACAGTGAGAGGTTGACAGGAGAAATGAAGAGTAGGAATCCTGGTGCTGATAGGGACACCCTCAGTGTTCGATTTAGTGTGTCCTTAATAGACCCACTAAATTGAATGCCAAAAGATCGATCTCTGGAGCATCGATCCACAGGTGAGTATAGATGCGGCCTTAGAAATCTCACTATCACATATTGGAGGCAGAGAGCTCCACCCTATTCAGTACATCCATCAAAGGATAGGTGAACATGGGGAGGAACCTCTCTCTTTTTGGATATGTAACTACTGCCCCAAATTGCAAGGAATATCAGACTCACATGTTTAATTCTATTACCCTCTATTGGCCGTTGTCTGCAGAACAAATAAACCCCTACTGAAACCAACGCATTCTTCTTCAGCCCACATAGCAATGAGGAAGCAGTAGGTCCTGAGTGCAATCTCTGCTAAGGAGGATTGTGAGATCCTTACACTGACCAGGATCCCTTACACAGGGCAATAAAATACAAAGAAAGGACAGCGGTGCACACTTCACAAATGATCAGTTTGCTGGTTAATCAGAATGTCAACATTGTTCCTGGTTCTGTCCTTTTCTAGGAAGCTCCAGTGTGGAGAGAGAAGATCTCCCTGCTCACCTGGTGAAAGACATCCGCAATTATTTCCAAATCAGCCCTGAATATTTTTCCATGCTTCTGGTTGGGAAAGATGGAAACGTCAAATCCTGGTATCCTTCCCCAATGTGGTCCATGGTGATCGTCTATGATTTGATTGATTCTATGCAGCTCCGGCGACAGGAAATGGCAATTCAGCAATCGCTGGGCATGCGATGCCCAGAAGATGAGTATGGTGGGTATGGTTACCATAGTTATCACCAGGGATACCAGGAAGGTTACCAAGATGACTACCGTCACCATGAAAGTTACCACCACGGATACCCATACTAAATAGAGCAACTTAACCTTTGGCTGCTGCCTCTTGCCCTCATCCTAATAGCTGTTCAAGCCATAAGTGGCCAGTCAAGAGCCTAAATAAACATTGCATTTGCCTTTTTGAAAATCCACAAGCCTTTACAATGAAATAGTTCAAACCAATAACACTGATGCTTTTTTTTTAGCAATAAAGACTCCTCTGTATTGTTTAACCCATGTAATCAGTGGACATCACCAGTTGAAGTTTGTTTGCATTAAAAAAAAATCCTTTCCCTACTGTATTGTTTAACCCATGTAATCAGTGGACATCACCAGTTGAAGTTTGTTTGCATTAAACAAAAATCCTTTCCCTCCCCTCTTGGCCATGGACCTCATACTGTAGCCAGGATACAAACTGTACAATAGATATTGTAATGCTTTTTTTATATTTTTTTCAAGGAGAAAAACAAAGTATATTTATTAGAAAGTGAGAATTTTGTGTTGTGCGGATGAACAGATACAGAAGACCACATCACAGGACTTCCCCACAGAAGGAGATTTTAGCAAAGACATGTGGGGCATTCTCTCTTTTATAATAATTTTTTAAAAACCTTTTTCACCTACCCTGTTTAAAAAGACTGTATCTCTTTTATAATAGATCAACTTTGTACTTAGCCGAGTTTCATCCATAACATAACAAAATGCAATCGCGTCGCTGAGAAATTTGAATTTCAAGCAAAAAGGAACATTTATTTCAAAAATATTTGTAAACATTTTTACTTGCATTTCAACTAACAATTTCTAATGATATTTTGGTGAAAATTCCATTTCCTCTCTTCATCAACTCTGGAGCCAATCTAAATTTCAAATCCCCCTTCTACTCCTTCCCCCAAAGAAAGGACAATTATTTTTTTTACAAAAATCTATGTAAAAATTAGGACATGCTTATTCAGCTAGCTCTGCTTCTGCTGTGGTTTCTCTAACTTGCATGCTTACTAGTGTGTTTTTAAGAGAACTGTACTAGTTATACCATACCATAAGCAATATCGCCGGATACCAGTTTCTATTTTACTGTTTTGTAACACGCAGCCTAAAAATATGATCTTCACCCTAGTCAAGGAAACTATGTTGAATATAGGAGCTTAGAAAATTAGTCAGTCTACTCATTTCAATAAAGGTTAAAGGCCTGATTCAACTCTTAAGGGCCTTACAGCAAAACTCAGGAATATCCCAATCAGGCCTCACAACAAAATATATCTTATTTAGCGGCTGCCATGGTGGAACGCACATTAGGTGACCTTTGACCTCTGATCTGGCATCTTGATATATATCCCAACCATCACACTGATGGATATATTTGGAAGAGGATTCTTATCAGTGGTCACAGCCACAGGACAGAAACAAGGAAGTGTCAAAGTACAACCCACTGCATGGTATTAAGCAAGTTGTTGAAAACCTTTGTCCCAGCCCAGATGAGAACAGAATTCTGCAAAACAAGGGCCTCGCTGAAAACCAGGTGTTTCCCTTAGAAAGGATCTCAAAAGCCCACCCCCATATCGAGTTCCGGTAAGTACGGGAAGAGTGAAGCCCTACCAGCTTCTGAAGCCACCTTCCCTTTCAGCACCAGAGGCCTAGTCATCATGGGGGCAGTTTGATAACTCATGCCCAGATCCTCAAAGGTTTGTAAGTGCTTAATCCTATTCAAATCATGGGAGTCCGATGCCTAAATATCTTTGAGGATCTTAGCCTCACTCCCTACATAGGGAGTGGTGATTAAGGCTTGTGGGAGATGGCTGGCTCTGGAAGGAGCCATCTTGAAAAAAAGACTATTAACTGTAACTTCCCTCTTTCAGCCTTGTTTCTTCCGGTAGCAATTCAGCAGCTGAAGTGGAGCAGGAAAAGAATTTATTTTAAAAAGTCAAGAAGGAATGATAAAACATAATGAGCTAAACTGAAGTAAGTCTTAGAGGAAAGGGTGAGGTCCTATGACTCTGCTTAAGACAGTAAGTGCTGATTGACTTATGTCAAGATGGTTAAGCAGCTGACCATTTTGCACTAAGGCAGAAGTAGAGTAAGACATGCCAGATGTTTCCCTAACACTTACAACTCCTTTAGACAAAAGGAGACATTTTAAGGAGATTTCTTAATCATTTAAAACATTCTTGTGTCTTTGTATTTTTGCAATGATTCTAAGAGAACGTAGACTGCATTGCAAGTATTCCGAAATAGCAATGCCACATCCAAATGCCATATCCAAAGAATGTGTCCGCTATTTAAAAAAAAAATTCAAAATAATGGACATGCTCTTTCACCATCCCTGTAAACCTCATTCTACAAGGAATAAGGGATAGCTTAAAAGAGCACTTCATTTTGAAATCTGGCACCATGTAGATGTGCCAAATTTTGAAATAGCCTCTTTCAAAATTAAATCGAAAAAAGATATGCAATTTCCATACTGCAAATTGCGTATCTTTTTTGATTTTAGAGTGCAGTCTAGGCATAGCCTAAATGGATGCACAGTAAATCAAACTACAAATCAAGAATTAGCAGAAAGGCCCAGTTTTGGGGTCGGGGAGAATGGAATTAACATGCCTAAACAAATAGAAAATTTCAACCAAATAGGCAAGATCCTGAGAGTTTATCAAGATTTCAGAACAAAATGGTGTATGCACCAGACACTGACCTGTGCACTCTTAAAGATAATTATGTGACTGTCTATTTATAGAGGTAAGTTCAAACAAAAACTCTCCATCTGAACACTTGCAAGATTTAGGGGTTTTCTTAACATGGATCTAAATTTTGGTGATAACCCCCGTATCTGATAGACCCAACAAATCCCCATTTCTGAACAAACTGGAATTTTGAAGGATGGGGTTTGATATCCATAACAGGTCTGACTTTTGTAGCTTGTCTCTCCTTATCAAGTCCCACGGGCTGGAAAACTTTAATTCAGATCAAGGTTAATCTCTCACATAGCTAGCTAAAAATCCTTAAGAAAACACTATAACTTTCTCAAAACCTTCCACAAACATTAGAAGGCTGGAAACTTCCAAATTAAAAGGATCTACTTTACCAAAAAACACAAATAGCCCCAATATTTGAAAGTATATCGTTAGTTTCACAAACAACCTTCACTCTGCCCTTCTTAGAGCAAACAGAAACTTAGCCATCCTTAGCTATCCTTCATGCAGATATATTACGCTCATATTTTTATGCCTATTAATGAAGCAATCCTGAATGGCAGATAGAGAATGAGGTTTTGGAGTTTCTGGATGTTTGCAAGATTCCAAGGATTTTGGTTCATATCTAAACAGGTCATTTTCCTTTAGACTCTCTCTTATTACCAATCCAAACACAACAGCATTCACAATAATGGTGAAATGTACTGAAAGAAATACTATTGTAATGTGTTCTTAAAGAAAAACAAAAATCTCTCTTCATATTAGGTTTCATAAAACTATTTTCTTAAATCTGAGTGAGAAACTTAAAATGCTCAATGGCTAATAAGTTCCAGCATTCTTGGCTCTTGGCTCCAAAGGTATATCAGCAGTGACCCTCCATTCCAAGGTCAATAGATTTAGGCTTGTGCTACCAGATTAAATAGTTGTGTACAAACAATGGCTCCATCGCTGAAGCCTAGAGAAGAGAGTGCCAGTGCCTATTTAGCTATTTTTAGAGTTTTAGCACAAGTTTGAGGCTGTTGACCAAGGTGGGGATGCTCTCCCCCAAACAACACAACTTGGAATGGTCTTTGGAGATAATGCTCTGTCTAATCTATTTTTAGAGGCCATGTCAGCCATTCTTCTCCTAAATGTCAATTTACTATCTTCCACAATGTCAATTGTGAGAACAGTATTGTGGAAGATAGTATGGTCACACCTTCCTCTACAATACTGCATGTTTACTCACTATTGTGGTTACACCAAAATAGTTGCCCATTTCTGGGTGGGAGTCAGTGTCCCTATTGCTGGCCTGACGATGTACTTCTCTAATTCAAGAGAGCGTCACTAACGGCTCCAACCAGTCCTCTTGAAATTAATGGAAAGACTTCCTCAAAAGTTGGATTGGCCCCAATACCCTTCCCTGTCCCAGAGGTATAGACAAACAGGTTGGTGCATCTCCACAGTTACATACCTGATGTCTCCATATGATTAGGCCTGGTGTAAATACATCAAGCATGGAAGTATCATTCCATTTTCTTACAGATTTTTTTCAACCAAGATTTCATGGTGCGCAAGGCACCTCCTCCGTCCCCCTCTCCTCCAGCAATGACATGGCCTGGGTTAAAATCAGCCCCACACAGTGTGTGTCCTCCCCTTCTTTGAATTCTCCTATCAGTTCTCACAAGGTAGGTCTGAGGGCAGGTTTAAGGAGGGTTCATCCAACAAGAGGAAAACCAATTTACAAACATAAACCTTAGGCGTGCCCTCTTTGTGGAGGAGTGATGTTGTCCTGCTGTTGGTCCCGGACTATCAGTCCTTACCCCTAAAACAGGAAGTCTGCTTTGAGGGTTTCCCCACGTAGAGAAAAGAGCAACCTCTCACTTTCTGTGTCTAGCTGGACAACAACTTGTCTCTCCTCCTCCTCTCTAACCAAAGATCTCTGGCAGCCCTTAACTGGAGTTAGGTTTCCCTAATTGAGCCAAGCTAACTCCTTTGCAGTTTATCAGTAAAAAGGCCTTTATCATTCTAAGGCTCACATACCTCCCAGTTTCCAGTAGAATGACTTTCTTGCAGCTTCCCAGCTTGACATTGTTACATTGGGGAACTTGGAAAAATAGTAATAGCCTAGCTCTTATACTGTGGTTTTGAACCAGACAGTCCCATATTTGAGCTTTCTGTCCGGGAAACAAATGGAGAAAATACCGGACATAGAAATGTCTGGTATTTTCTAATTAAGTTTTATTATTATCATGAGTATCGGTACATACTTGTGTACTGCCTGGCTAGTAGACACACTCACAGTGTGTGAGCGTGTCTACCAGACAGGCAGTAGGCAATTACACAGTGGGGGGGCAGGATGGAATTCCTGGAGCTGGACTTGCCTGTGCACCCCGCCGGGACCATGTGAGGGACGGGCAGCGCCCCGGGATCTGCGTTCACCCGGGCCAGCCCTGCTCCCCGCCGGCCGGTTCCCCCCACCCACCCCGCTCCCGGCCAGCCCCACTCCCTCTGATCTCCCCCCGGCCATCCCCGCTCTCCTCAACTCCCTCCTGGACAGACCTGCTTCCCAGTGGCCGGTTCCGCCCCTCCTCCCCCGATCCCGTCCCGGCCAGTCCCGCTCCTTCAAACCCTCTTCCGTCCAGCCCTGCTTCCCACCGGTTGGTTGCCCCCCAGATCTCTCCCAGCCAGCCCTGCTCCCTCCGGCCAGCCCCACTCCCCCTCACCCCATCTGAGATCAAGTGTGTCCAGTATTTTTTTGAAACCATCTGGTAACCCTATGAACTTTTCATTAGTAGGTTTCAAAGCGTTTTATGAAAGTCAGAATCATTCTTTTCCCTTTGTAGATGGCAAAACTGAGGCATAATAAGGAGACACAACTTGCCCAAGGTCATCCAACACGTTAGTGGCGGAGCTAGAATCCTGAGTCCCAATCCAGTGCTCTAGCCATTGGATTATACTGCCTCTACACTAAGGACACTTTATAAAGTTAAGAAAGGGCTTTTCTCCATCATTTGTCTTCAAACAGAAATTTCAGGCAGGGAGGCCGCGAGTGTGGTTTTGGAGACTGTCAGACCTGGTT